CTTCTGCTTATGGAAGCTAGTAGGATCAGTCTCAGATCGACTGAGGGTAGGGGGTGGGGTTTCTAGGAAACAGAGTTATAGAGGAATTCAGATCAAGAGTTTGCTGGAAGATGAAGGTTACAGAGGGAAAAGATACTCTAGTCTATGTGGTGTAGTGTGTGTGAAGATTTCCAGGATGGGTGATGGGGCTGTGGACTTCCCCTTGCCCCTAAATATCCTTAGCATCCCTTAACCAACAGGCCCGAGCCCACCAGAGTTAGCTCTGGCAATGGGAATACACGAAATGAAGGGACCCTGCCTACATGAGTTGGGCTGTGCAGGTGAGGCCTGGGTGGGTGGGGAGGGGACACTAGCTGGTGGGATCCCATCCCAACTTCCACTCTGGTGCCACCCCAGGACTTGTGCAAGTAGGGAACTGGGTCTCCGGCCAGGTATTGTACGTCCCCTTTAAGAGCCTAGCTGAGCTCTTAAGAGAGGGAGGGGGAGTGGAGGGGAGGGGAGGGGAGGGAGAGAGGGGAAAAGGAAAAAGAGACTTTTATAGTCTAATCCCCAGGGACCCGCTTTAATAAGAGACTTGTGCTCTGCTAATCGGGGGAGGTGTTTGTCAGCAGAGATGGCCTCCGTTCCCCTCCCCCTCCCTCCCCTCCCCCAGCCCTCAACCCTGGACCCCAGCCCCCACCTCTCCTAGGCTGCTCTGCCTGCCCTAGTTCCCTCTACCCTCTCAGGCTCTCCCACCGAGCCTTCATCCTGGGAACCCAGCCCCCTGCCCTTCTGGGAGCCAAGCCCAGCCCCTGAGTTTCTCTCCTCCCCACACCAAGAGGCCCCTGCCCTCTCAGCCCAACCTCCTGCCCTTAGGCCTTCCAGCCATGGTTGGGAGTGTGTGTGTTGGGGGGGGTTAGGGTAGGGGGAAGGGGAGGTGGTGTGCAGGGAGGGGGTTGGGCATTTGCTGAAAATAGTGCAGTGACCTCTCTCTCCCACCAGCGCCGCCTACTAAACCTGACCTGCTGCCTGCCACCAGCCCGATCAATTCAACACAGATGTGGCCCCTTTTCCTCCCCATCAGAGCTCGGCATATGTGTGTTGGGGACTCTCTCAAGCCCCGTTTCCCTCTGTGGCTCTACCTGCTTCTCCTTTGTTCCTCCGTCTGTACCCTTTCTATCCTTTCTCTCCTTTACCCCACTAGGTTTAGCTTCCTCCCACCTTTAGCTTTCTAACCATCACCCACTCCTTTCTATCACTGCCCCCGCATCAGGATTCTCAAACTCCCAAACTTATTCTCCCTTTGCCATGATTATCCCCTGCATTTTTCCACTCTAGCCTCTATTTCTCCCCCTATATCTACTCATCTGCCTTCAACTCTTAACTCATCTCCCTCACCATCTCCAGTCTCTCCCCTGGCTCTTCTCTCTGCTCTTTCCTTTTTCCCTATGCCCTACCTCCTTGTAGCACTGACTGTCCCCTGTCCACTGGGGGACAAGTACATGGAACCAAAGACTTAGATGTAGCCCTCATCTTCAAACCCTGGATCAGCTTAGGTAGAGGGAGGGTTATGTTTAGAGCTTAGTAGAGAATGTGAAAATAGTAGTAGCTTCTCAATAAATGTTGGTTTGTTCATTTTCTATTTTCACATTCTCTAGTTAATGCTTAGCACTTATGTGAAGCAAGAATTATATCACACTGAGAAGTTTAGTAAAGTTATATAGTGGTTAGTAAGGAATCAGGCAGTGATTAAACCCACTTCAATTATAGTCAAAGAACAGAATTTAGATGCCAGGAAGAACTTTCAGGCACTTGCCTGTATAATTTAAGATTGGGAGTTTAGGGAGTTCATTGACTGCGTATTTACTGAGTGCTGTCTGCCACTATGGGAGGCACTAAAGCTACAATGGTGAGCAAAACAGACACAGTATGAATAACATAGTGTCTACTCTCATGGAGGTTAGTACCTAATGGCAAGAAAACAGGCAATTCCTATGCTGAAATTAGGTAGAGTATGCTATTTGGGATGTTGCTTGTCACTCCCCATCTCACTAGTAGCTTCCCTACCCCAGCTACTTCTAATCTCTGAATTCTCACTCCCCAAACCCTACTCCATTGCACCATCACTGAAGCTCCAGCCAGTAAAATAACTGGACTGCCAGGGCCCTGGGACCTCAGAGAATAATCAAGAAAAAAAAAAAAAAAAGCTATAGAGACTTTGGGTATCATATCCTGAATATATGAAGTTCATTAAGCATTTTCCTCCTCATCTCACTTAGAAGGTCCTCTTTCTCCCAGGGTGGGAGTGGGGAAAAGCTGACAGGACATCCTAAGTCCGTCCTGATTTTGCAGAACTCAAGACATGGGGAGGATACTTAAAGGCCCAGACTTCCTGACTCTGCTTCTATGGCTCTGGAAGCTCATTCCTGATTCTTCCTATCTAGAGTGAGGATAGACATATACTGTCCAATGGAGACATGTTGTAGGGCACTCCCAACTGACTTAAGAAAGGCAGTGAAGAGGAGCTGGAATGGAAGCAGAGGCAGATATTTATTGAGAATTGTTCATTAGACCCAAGAAGGATCAATTTATGGTCCAGAGCAAGGAGAAATGGGTCAAAATGTAAAGTTGGGATGTTAAAACTTTGTCATGACCTACCAGCACTAGACTGAGAAGCCAAAGGAAGCTCAGGGGAAAAAAAAGGCATTGTAGTTGATCTGGTGTATTTAATATTATTTCTGGTGCTTTAGGCAAATAGGAGGCAACACCATGAAGGTAATTATTCCTTTCCTCAAGAGCTGGAGCAGTCATGGTGATGATGATGAAGCAGCAGCTGAAGAAACTTCTTAGGAGAGAATGGGGAGACAGATGTATAGGAAGTGCTTGGATAGTTCCATTTTGCTAGGTGTTATTCCTAATGGGAGTGAGGCAAGAAGCCTAGATCTGAATTCTGGTTTACATAATGGGGTAAATTTAGCTCATGCTCCCTATCTGGACCCTGGGTTATCCCCTCTCTGAGGCCACCTGTGTTTTTGTTTTTTTTTTGTTTTTGTTTTTTGTGGCGGAGGGATGTGCCAGGCTCTACCTGCCCAGCAGATAAGTCAGAGCAGATAGGGGGCAAGGTGACGTAAGGGCAGCAGGTGTGATAGGAGGTATGGCTTCTATAAAGAGCTTCAAAGATTCAGAAAATGTTGGAGCCTTACATGCTGGGAAAGGTTGGAGGCCAGTAAGGATGGTGGTGGAGGAATAATTTTGCAGGTTATCTGGTAGACAGGAATCTATATATTAGGGCAAGTGGATTAGGAAATGAATACGTATCAGTAAGGCCTTATAGGGCCATCATCCTATAGAGGAAGTGCTGTTTTAGGTACCAGAGACATGTTATAAGACAGGCACGGGAGAAGGGTAAAGAATTGGAAAAGTCAGGCTGAGAAGTCCAGATTGCCAATGCCACCCAGGACTACTGATACCCTACACAAACACCCTTTGCTGATGCTGTGCCCTTCTCTCTTATCAGCGGACCCAGCAGTACAGACAGATGGCAGCCCTCTCTGCTGCCATTTTCACTTCAGCCCCAAGGTGATGTTCACAAAGGTACTGAAGGCCCAGCTGTGGGTGTACCTACGGCCTGTACCCCGCCCAGCCACAGTCTACCTGCAGATTTTGCGACTAAAACCCCTAACTGGGGAAGGGACCGCAGGGGGAGGGGGCGGAGGCCGGCGTCACATCCGTATCCGCTCACTGAAGATTGAGCTGCACTCACGCTCAGGCCATTGGCAGAGCATCGACTTCAAGCAAGTGCTACACAGCTGGTTCCGCCAGCCACAGAGCAACTGGGGCATCGAGATCAACGCCTTTGATCCCAGTGGCACAGACCTGGCTGTCACCTCCCTGGGGCCGGGAGCTGAGGGGCTGGTGAGCAGGGGGCCTGAGGTGGTGGATATGTGTAACCTGGCCCCGAGGAGATGGGGTTACATTGGAAAAGGTAGACAAGGAATGTGAAGGAGGTTGGGGTCTAGCATTACTTCTCTGGGGTCAGGAGCTCATTCTAGAGGAGCTGAGGAGTAGGGTGGCAACTGTTACTTCTCAAGGATCCAAATCAGACAACAGCTGAAAACTGGATTTGAAGGTAAAGGTGTCAGTTAATGGAAGAGCTGTGAGAACACAAAAACTGGCTGTTGAGGCACTGGGCCAAGGGGCTGACGGGGGTCAGTTTGCCAGAAGAGTAAGAATTAGAGATGGTGAGTTGAAGGAGAGTTAGCTAGCTGGCAAGAAAAGTGGGCAGAAGATAAATTCTGGGGGTGGGAGCAATGGAAAAGCTGAGAAGTCAGCGGTCTCTATTCTGATGCCCCTGGCAGGTGGGAAAGGAACAGGGAAGAGGAACTGTTCAGGGCCGTATCACATTTCTTTCCCCTCTCCCTGACCCTCAGCATCCATTCATGGAGCTTCGAGTCCTAGAGAACACAAAACGTTCCCGGCGGAACCTGGGTCTGGACTGCGACGAGCACTCAAGCGAGTCCCGCTGCTGCCGATATCCCCTCACAGTGGACTTTGAGGCTTTCGGCTGGGACTGGATCATCGCACCTAAGCGCTACAAGGCCAACTACTGCTCCGGCCAGTGCGAGTACATGTTCATGCAAAAATATCCGCATACCCATTTGGTGCAGCAGGCCAATCCAAGAGGCTCTGCTGGGCCCTGTTGTACCCCCACCAAGATGTCCCCAATCAACATGCTCTACTTCAATGACAAGCAGCAGATTATCTACGGCAAGATCCCTGGCATGGTGGTGGATCGCTGTGGCTGCTCTTAAGGTGGGGGATAGAGGATGCCTCCCCCACAGACCCTACCCCAAGACCCCCAGCCCTGCCCCCATTCCCCCAAGCCCTAGAGCTCCCTCCACTCTTCCCATTGAACATCACACCCTGTTCCCCGACCAAGCAGTGTGCAATACAACAGAGGGAGGCAGGTGGGTATTGAGGGGTGAGGGGTTTGGGGGAAAGGGGAAGGAGGGGCATAGTCAGGGTGGGGAGTGTTTGAAGTTTGCAGATGCGAAGGTTTGACAAAAAGACAGAGAGATGTAGAGACAGAGGGATAGAGACAGAGGAACAAAAAGAGCAGCAGTGAGAAGGCAAAGAGAGAGAGGCAGAAGAGACAGACTAGGCAGAGACAAAACACTGAGAAAGAGACTGAAATGGAGTAATAAATGAAAGCCCCACACCAAGCCTCCTTTCTTCCACTGGCAAGGTGAGGGGCTTGGTATAGTTTGGGGAGATCCCCTGACTACTCAGTAGGAGAAGAAATCAAAAATCCGTTCTTTTTCCCTTCTCTCCCTCCACAGTGGCTAGGGGAAGGGAAGTGAGGGCAGGGGCAAAAGGATTTGGGAATTTTTATTTATTTATTTATTGTGACTTTTCATTTTTTTGGTATTTGGCTTTACTGGAATAGGAGGGCCCCTGCCCACTGTGCCCCATTTATCCCTTATTCCCCAAACCCTGCTCTCCCCAACACCTACCCACTTAAGCACTTGTATAAAGCCTCCAGGGTTGGGAATGGGAGTAAAGGGCAAGAGGGTCGACACATGAAGTTTAGTTTCTAACCCATTATCACCCTAACTCAACTTTTTCTGAGCCAAATGGGTTGAATTTAAGCCAGTTGTCATGGAAATAGTAAGAGGTTAGGGTTTAAGAGCTGGGGATAGAGGGGTGGGAAAGAGAACCCTCAACATCCAGGATCTATATGATGAGAGCTACTTTAAACCCTCAGGTCAACCCTCATGATACTGAGTTACTTAGCCAGAGGGTGCAGCCTGCTTAAGCCCAAATTCCCTCAGCCAAGAGAGAGACCAAAGAGCCTCTGGAATGGCCCTGCTCCCAGCCTCTATCTTCAGGTCAATAAGAAAGAGTATAGAGACCCTAGAGTCCCCTGGGTCTGGAAAGCGTTAGGAGAGGTCAAGAAAGGAGCAGTAAGGAGGCTGAAGGTTACAGGGCATTTGAATCCAAATCACTGCTCTGGGCTAGGGAATAAAGCCAGCAGACCAAGGTGGGAGGGATTCTGGAAGGGGGATATTTTAGTCCCCTAACCCCAAAAGCTCAGGGTGGAAGAGGGGAGAACAAGGAAGCAGAGTGTATAATTATTTTCCTTTTATTTTTGGAATCTAACAGTACCTGGCAGCAGGGAGGGGAAAGTACAGTGGGGAAAAGCATCTGACAAGGCCAGTTAGAACAGAGGATGGGAAGGATGGAGACTCCCGGGTTTGGAAGGCTAGGAAGAAGGCAGAGACTGGTTGCCATTTCAAGTTACTAGCTAGGCCCATTAATTCCTCCCACAACCCTGACCCATTCTCCTCTGGACTCGCTGTGCCTCAGTTTCTTCCCCTCAATGGAATGAGAAATGACAGCACCCGCCACAGCCAAGAGATGAATTCTGAGCACTTACCACGGGCACTTTATGGACATAAAATACCTCTCGCTGTGGGACAGATAACCAGGGCACCAGAGTAGTGGTGAAGAGATGTGAGGCTTAAGAGGAGTTACAGGCTTCAGAGTACAAGTTCCCCTCTGCCTCCCAGCTGGACAGTGCCTAGAAGCCAAGTTGAGAATCTCCTGATCCACACCCTATCCTTACTTCACCACCACGCCTCTTGGCTCCAGGCAAGAGCTTAGAGGATGTCAGGAGAGGTGGGGTAAGAACCTTCAGCAAAACTGTCACTCTAAGTAGAGCCAGCAGTTACGGGTCTGATAAAAACAGTACTGAACTTAAAGTAAAGCCCAAGCTGGTGAGCAAACCTGGATGGCTCATTCTTCCCAAGAGCATGACTCTCCCTCTTGGCCAGTTGGTGGAAGGGGCAAAGGTATGTGACCACCCTTGAGAAGGTGATGTTGGTGAGCTTTAACATCTTATTCCTATTCTTATAGTGAGAAAGTGAAACAAGGTGTTTCAGTAGAGGAATGGGCAGGGGCTGTTAGGCTTTTCAGCTTGCCTTCACCCATATAGCAGCTATGCTAACCCCAAGCCTCTCTGGCCCTGTTCTTCATCCTTCCTTCTGCCCCAATCCTGGAGAACAAGACACACCCGGCCATCAACACCACTCACATTTCCTTGGTGGAAGGAAAGGAACAGAGAAGTGAAGAACAGATGATATCTCCCTCCAAGGTCAAATGCCTCTTGATCTTCGCAGAGTAGGGATTGGGCAATAAGCATCAGGTATATCTTCCTTCTACAGATTCTAGAGAGCTGGGCCATTAAATATGGGGGACACTTAGAATACTGCCCCTTTAATACCACCAAATAAAGACCTTTGTGTGTGTGTGTGGTGGCGGGGGCAGGGGTCTTTCTCTTCTGAACATAAATCTGTGAGCTGAACTCTCATTCCCCTGTTCCTCCCCACCCCCAAAGAGGCATGGAGTAAAGGGGCTTGGGGGACAGCTCAGCAACCCAGTGGGAGTTAGCACCCCCTCCCACCTATGATATGTGTGGACCTGGCCAGTGCCCCTCTGAACATATCATTATTAGTGTAATTATCATTTATTTTGTGTATTTGTTACATTGTGTGCATGACAGCCTTTGTTAAGGGTGTCTGAGGAGTATGGAGCTGACAGGGGCACTGGAATGCCGGGAAAGAACTTCTTCAACTGAGATCAAGGCTTCCTGGAGGGAACCACTGCAAAAAGGCCATCAGGCAGTTTTCAAGTTATGTGACAGAGGGCAAAGATGGCCATAGGGTGCTCTGAGTTTTGGGATGGTCACATGACACAATCCAGCACTTGAACCTGAAAAAAAAAATAAAAGCAGTCAAAGAGTTTAGAATTCAGTGCTGAGCTCTTCTCCCTAATCAAGTGCCACATTTACACCTTGGAGAACCAGAGGTGAAGAGGATCTGAGACAGGAAACCTCGTATTCAATGACTAAGAAGATGGGGTCCTGGAGCAAGACAGAAAACACTAAGGGCATGGTGGTATGAGGTTTGGGACATGCAGGCCAAGGAAGGATGGGAAGAGGACAGGAAACTGGGGGCAACTAGAACAACCCCTCTCTGAAAAGCTTGAGCCAAAACAGTCCCAAAGACTACAAAACCCCTCTCCCAGCCTCCACAGAATGGAAGATCTAAAGATTCTCTTGAGATGATCCAGCTAGTGTCCTATTCTCCTGCAGTCCCTGTTCCTAGGTTTCCTCAACGAAGTTTGACAAAAATCTGTAAACCAACATAGCCATCCAACTTGCCTTGTTACACAAGAGTGGCTAAAATAGCATCTCAAATATTCTTTCAGTTCACTGTAAAATTTTTTCCCATGTAACTAGAGCACAATTCCCCGGGCATATGAATTGGGAATGGCAAAAGAATATTGCCTGACTCACATTTTTAAAAAATAAGGAAAGCAGGACCCAGTGGTGTGCTCCTGTAGTTCCAGCTATTCAGGAGGTTGCGGCAGGAGGACCACTTGAGGCCAGAGGGTCAGGGCTGCAGTGTGCTATGATTGGACCTGTAAATAGCCACTGTACTCCAAGCTGAGCAACATAGTAAGACACTGTCTCTAAAAAAAAATTAAAATAAAAATAAGCAAAGCTCCTGTGACATCAACCTGATCCAGAATTGGGGACAGGGCTGCTGAGGGTTCAGTGTACTGCCATGCTTTCCCTGTCTTATCAGTTCTATCAGCACATTGACCCTACCGGAGACCAACTACAAGACTGAGGCTGGAACTGGTTGAGTAGCAGAAGTGTTATGTATTCTATCTTCCCAAGGGAACTATATCCACATCTACCCCTAACTTTGTCCTGAGCTGAAAATGGGTTTTCTCTCCCCGTGTTTCCTATACTGAGAGAACTTGTTTCCTATACTGAGAGAACACCCAAAAGAGACCAACCACTCAAGATGACTTTTTACAAGTCTTTTCTTCTTTATCTTAAAACATCCTCCAACTAAGGGCATGAGAAGCTATCCTATACTCTGACCTTGCCCATATTTTAAATGGCAGGGGCCCCAAGCTAAGAATCAGCAGGCAGTGGCATTTACAGCTTCTGGTCTATAGTGGAGCAGAAGCAGGAAAGTCAATGCTCCAAAGCAACAATGTCCAGCTTTCCTGCCAGTGAGCTGGGGTTGAGGGAGTGAATGGGACTCTTTCTGCCTTTTCTTTTTCTCCAAATACAACTGCTAACTGGGTGTATGCACACACAAACATGTTCAAACTAGGGCACTCACACCTAGCTAGAACCTACTCGGAAAGAAATATGTATTTCCATAGTACCCTGACACCCAGTAAGATTAAGAGCTAATATTTATTAAATGATTACTATGTAAATTATGGTAATCAAATTGTAGTGTGAATACATGATATGAGAATATCACTTCATTCACACAGCAACCTTCACAATGGGGTTCCTTTTGGTACAGTCTGAAAAGAGAATGATTATCGGCCCAAGGTCTCAGAGCTAGTGTGGCAGAACAAGAAATTAAACCTAAGTAGTTGCTAAACAATATTACATTCTAATCTATCCTATTAAAAGTGATCCAGGAGGTAGAAACCTAAATACAAGAACAACATAAGGGAAAGAGATAACAAGAAAGTTGGGGACACCTTGGGCTCAAAGAATCTGGAAAGATGTGAAATCTGTAATTGTCAATCCCTTTGGAGGGAAAAACAAGAAAAGCCTAGATATGGCAAGAGAAGGGAGGTTAAATTTTGGGGGGATTCCAATAATCATATAAGAGAACAGCAAAAAAGTTATCCTCCCTTAAGCTCCTCCCTCACTCCTCATGTCAGACACAGCAAGAAAACTCAGCTCAACACCAAGAAGTCCTGACCTTATTCACACCTTCCTTCCTATAGCCCTCATCCTCACAGAAGCTTCTAGCCTCTATCTTCAGCAGTTCTTAAGAGATGGGGTGAGGGGCTGGGCAGTTTAGAGTGAGAGTGGAAAAAAAGAGAATAATCCTAGAGAACCATAAAAAAGTACAGATTTACAGCTGAGGAAGCTAGTTCTCCCCACAGCTTTTATAGACTCCCTCATTAAGAGCTTCCAGGTATGCAGAGAATGTCACAGCTTCAGGACTTGGAATCAGTTAACCACATCTGGATGCTGGATCAGCTACAGTAGGGAAACTGGGGGATAGGAAGGAAGGGTACTAAGATCTCAGGCAAACAATTACAAGCCTCAATGTCTGTTCCATCTCCAAATGGAATTACTGTTTTAAAACTGAATTGGGAAAAAGGCATCCTGAACTATTCATGTTCAAAGAGTATGTGGGGAATGATTATAACGAGATAGGAAGGGGAGGATTTGATCTGGCTCGGAGGTTAGAGACTTCTGACCAACACAGGAACAGCTGCTGAAATGGGAAGAAAAAGGTTAGTAAGAAAAAAAATATCCTCACCAATTGGAAAACACTGTTCAAAGATCTGGGGGAAGATGAGTGAGGAGAATAATTAGGCTTCAAGAAGAGAATCCTGGCAAGTAAGGCTGAATATCTTTCTGGAAGGTTATAGAGGATAAAGAGACAAAGTGAAGAAAACTTCCAAAAGATCCACTGTTCCACTTCATAGTCAGCATCTGCTCTATTCCCTCATGCATTTTTCTCTTTTTAAAACCACATTGAGGTAGAAACCATTAGTGAATCTATGATCTCTCAAATTACAAATAAGATCTATTCTGTTTTCAGATGCAGACAGAGTAGAGACAGGAAAAGCTAGCCCCAAGATCAGAGCCTGAGGTAAAGAAAAGGGAGGCAGACAGAAAAGAGGGAAAAAGGGAAGGTCATTCCAATTGTAAGGTTTATTTGGATGAGGAGGTGTCAGAAATTTAACCAGCATTCCCTTTTGTTCACTTCTCCAAAGTCTCAGAATGGGGCAAACTTCACAACAAATGGGCAGCAGTTTTTGGATCTGCTCTCCGAGGCACAATTTTCCTAAAGTATCTAAGCTTTAGGTCCCTGCCTTCCTCACCAACCAGAGACTTTAGAGAAATAAAGAGATTCTTGACATTAGAAAGGTGATCAAACCATTAACATTTCATTAAGCACAAAACCAGGCAGGTTTTAGTAGAAATAAGGATAAAGGATTATACCACAGCAACATGGGATCTGATCATAGTACCAAAGTTTTCACGTAAGGTGCCAGGCTCCTAAATCTTATTACCAAAAATAACTCAAACAAAAACCAAGCTTACATAAAGATTAAGAGGAGAAACTCTGCACTAACATATACAAAAAGATTAAGTAGGAGGTTTCAGACCTACATGAACTTGAAGCCTCCAGTTCCACTGCTTATATTCCCAATGACTTAGCTAACAATGTGTAACAGCTCTGACATCCTCTGTCATGCTTTGATTCCGCACACAAAATTTCTTCTATCTCTGAGGGATATCCAGCCCATCTCCCTTCCTGAACTGACTGACCAACACAGTATCATGCCAGGCCACCCTTGAAATGAGGGCCCTTTTCCTCTAATGTGGGACCCTGGACTCTATTTTATCCAAGAAAAAGTCAGCATTATTAGCTCGGAACAGAAGGCTGCTAATCACTGCCCTTGTATTTATGTCCTTTGCAACACCTAAAACCTCCCATGTTCTGTTTTATTTCAGCGGGTCACTACAAGCTGCTGGAGCAAAGACTTGGTGGGTGGGTAACTTAACCTCTTCACAGAGGATAAAAAATGCTTGTGAGTATGAGAGAAGGGAATAAATAGGCTTAAAGGGTAAACTCAATCTTTTTCCTCATCTTCTCTTCTAAGGGATAAAGATGTTACGGCCAATTCTCTCTCTATAATATTTGCCCTTGAAGCTCCTCTTATCTGGTCTAATCTGGCTCCAATAAATCAAAGGAGCACCTAATAAAACACATTGTTCTCTTTTCTATTTTTTTTTTTTTTATTAACGAGCAACATAATCAAAAACAAAAACACAACAACCTTAAAGCTGAAACAGCAATAAGTCAAACTGCTGCCGCAGTTCACGGATGTACCTGGGGTACATGCTCCCTCATTGCGAGGCAGGACGTAGGCACGTGACTGTGCATTTAGGCATATATGTGACCAAGAAGAATGAGAGAAATGGAAAACACTGGAGAACAGATAGTATCAAGAACTTTTCATCAGGCAATCCCAAAGCGCTCTGCTCTTTTCCTCTTCTTTGCCTGTAAAGAAGCAGCAAGAAGAAAAAAATTAGACTGAAGACAATAGTTGCCTGGGTTCCTGGCCGCTTTAACCCAAACTCACATGAACTGTCACAAGGCCCGAGAAGGAAGGATGGCCCAGACTTGAGCTTGGCAGCTAGAGATTTCATTCCTGAATCTCTCCAATCTTTCCAGTTAACCAGGAGGAGCTGGGAAAGTTTAGCGGCTAAGGAGGGTGAGGAGTAAAGATTATTGGGGGCGAGGAAGAGAGAGAACAGTGGTAGAAAATGGGAAGATTCCTGAAGGAAGACCACTCAGCCTGAGATCAGCTAGCCTGGAAACAATAGGCTCTTAACAGGCTGGGGAAAGTCTTCCAGTCAATGGGGAGATGGAAGATTTCAGAGGATAAAGGATTAAGAAATGCTATTCACAGAGGTGAAGGAGATGCCCTTCTGAGCAGTCAGGCCCAGACAGTAGCTATTCCTTAGGACTCCAACTCACAAAAAAGGCATATAAATCTTTGATGCCAACAGAACGAACAGGGAGTGAGTGGTATGTGGGTGAGTCCCTATCATAGATCTCTTAAAGGAGGCAGCAACACTGGAGAGGACACAAAATGGTGAGGGAAGACTTCTAGTTCTGGAAGTGACTCACAGAACAGCACCAAGTCCTTCATGGGCACTCCCAACCACTGCCCCTCACAGAATACAAACTCCTCTGGCTTTTTTCTAGTGAAGAGTGCTAACTGATCTGATTCTAAAATTTTCAGGGTTTAATTTACAAGACTAACTCTGATACTTATTCATAAAGAAGCTTTTCATAGGCCGGGCGCAGTGGCTCACGCCTGTAATCCCAGGACTTTGAGAGGCCGAGACAGGCAGATAATGAGGTCAGGAGTTTGGCCAGCCTGACCAACACGGCGAAACCCCGTCTCTACGAAAAACACAAAAATTAGCCAGGTGTGGTGGTACGCGCCTGTAATGCCAGATACTCAGGAGGCTGAGGCAGAAGAATCACTTGAACCCGGGAGGCGGAGGTTGCAGTAAGCTGAGATTGTGCCACCACACTCCAGCCTAGACGACAGAGCAAGACTCCGTCTCAAAAAAAAAAAAAAAAAAAAAAAAAAAAAACCTTTTCATAAAACATCATCCTGTTGGTACAGTCCTCAAGATAGTAAGTTTTTGTAAGATATGGCCATTTCTCCCACCATGATTGTAAGCTTCCTGAGGCCTCCCCAGAAGCCAAGCAGATGCCAGCACCATGCTTCCCGGTCTCATGTATTTCTCCTTTATAGCAATGCAAGAACAGCCATATATATATATATATATATATATATATTTTTTTTTTTTTTTTTTTTTTTGAGACGGTCTTTCTCTGTTGCCTAGGCTGAAGTGCAGTGGTGCAATCTGGGCTCACTGCAACCTCTACCTCATCCTCTGGAGTAGCTGGGACTACAGGCACATGCCACCACACCCAGCTAATTTTAAAAAAACTTTTAGTAGAGATGAGGTCTCACTATGTTGCTCAGGCTGGTTTCCAACTCCTGACCTCAAGTGATCCTCCCACACTGCTCTCCTAAAGTGCTGGGATTCTTTCATTTTGAGAAACTATCTGTAAACAAAGTGACAAGAACAGGAAATCTCATTTGAGTCCATTGTCCTTTTCCAGAAGGGAGTTAGGCACAACCAGTACTTATTAAATATTTTAAAACTATCCCTTTTTACACAGAATCGTTTCATTCTTTAAATATCACTTTGAGGTAGGTATATTATCTCCACTTCCTGGATGATGAAACTGAGGCTCAGGAAGTACTATAACTTATTAATACTAAGTGGCAAAGCCTTTTTCTTTTTCTTTTTTTTTTTTTTTTGAGACCAAGTCTCACTCTGTAGCCCAGGCTGGAGTACAGTGGCATGATCTTGGCTCACTGCAACCTCTGCCTCCCGGTTTCAAGAGATTCTCAAGTCTCAGTCTCCAGAGTAGCTGGGATTACAGGCACACGCCACTGCACCCGACTAAGTTTTTGTATTTTTAGTAAAGATGGGGTTTCATCATGTTGGCTAGGCTGATCTTGAACTCCCAACCTCAATCTGCCCGCCTCAGCCTCCCAAAGTGCTAGGATTACAGGCATGAGCCACCGTGCCTGGCTGCCTTTTTCTTTTTTGAGACAGGGTCTCACTCTATTGCCCAGGCTGGAGTACAGTGGCGACATCCAGGTTCACTGCAGCCTTGACCTCCTGGGCTCAACCATCTCAGCCTCCTGAGTAGCTGCGACTACAGGTGTGTGCCACCACGCCTGGCTAATTTTTGTATTCTTAGTAGAGACAGGGTTTCTCCGTGTTGCCCAGGCTCATCTCGAACTCCTGGGCTCAAGAGATCTGCCTGCCTCAGCCTCCCAAAATGCTAGGATTACAGGCACGAGCCACCACACCCAGCCCAGAGCCACTTTTAAAATCCAAGGCTACCTGGTTCCAAACATTATACTCTTTGCCACTAGTCTAATAGACTCTAACACTGAATTAAGTATATTGATGGAATTCAGTGTTGCCACTTCATCCAGAAAAAAATTTATCAAGAAAAAGGCAAAATATTTGGGCACTTAAGAAGTAGGTGGGTAGCCAGACATAGTGGCTCATGCCTATAATAATCCCAACAATTTGGGAGCTGAGTGCGGAGGATCGCTTGAGTTCAGGAGTTTGAGACCAGCCTGAGCAACAGAATGAGACCCAATCTCTACATACATACATACATAAGAAGTAGGTGGGAAAACAGTGTTTCTCTACTCAGTTTATTCACTCACTTCCTGAGTAACAGAGACCCCATCTCTACTTAAATAAGTAAATAAATAAATAGGTGGGGAAACAATATTTCTCCATTCAGTTTATTCACTCTAATTTCCCTTCAAGGTCTATGAAACATTCCAGGTATATTTTTACCTCTGTATCCTCTGTGGTTCCAGTTCCAGCTGAACTTGTGACAATCCCAAATCGCTCCTTCCTCTTTTTCAGTTTCTCATCATCTTCAGACTGTTCAGGGACAAAGGAAATAATTGAAACAAACTAGCCTCCATTCACCAAGTAAATGGGAATGAAATGATAACTTATTGGTCACAAGGTGCTAACCAACCTTGCACCAAGAACTAAGGATCACATAAAGAGATAAGATACATAAGAAACTGAATAAGCTAGCATATACTATATTGTACCTATAATGACTAAAAACTTAATTTTAGGCAGGGCCTCAATACCCATAGACAAGTAGAGTAAATAAACAGTAAGAGGCTGGGCATGGTGGCCCACGCCTGTAATCCCAGCACTTTGGGAGGCTGAGGCGGGTGGATCCGGAGGTCAACACCAGCCTGGCCAAGGTGGTGAAACCCCATTTCTGCTAAAAATACAAAAAAATTAGCCGGGTGAGGTGGCAGCCGCCTGTAATCTCAACTACTAGGGAGGCTAAGGCAGAGAACTGCTTGAACCTGGGAAGCAGAGGTTGCACTAAGCTGAAATTGCACCACTGCACTCCAGCCTGGGTGACACAGCAAGACTCTGTCTCAAAATAAATAAATAAATAAAATAAAATAAACAGTAAGAAACACCCATAAAACAAATTTCTATGCTCAAGCAATTTTGGCAGTTGAGGGATATGGAAAACTAAGGTTTCACTGAGTAACACCCAGTTACACCTAGTAACACCTAGTTAGAAGGTACCCAAACTACTTGTTGAACACTGCTTACACGTTACCAAGGAAAGAAAGGGGAAGAGGACCAGAGTGGTATTTCTGAAAAACTTATTTGTTTGAAACACCCAGCAAAGCCATAGAAGGCTTCTTTGAAATGATTCTTAAAACAGGTCAATCAAGGTGACAGTCACAGTCAACTCTTTAAGAGAAATGCTGTGGACATTTTCCAAGCATCTGTGAAACTCATGATGTCTGCCTGAGAATGAGAGAATATTTCACTTTACCATGAGTTGGAGCTGGCCATTATCCTAGGTGTTGGACATCATTCATGTCCAACAGTGTTCAGTATAAGAGTCTATATATTTTCCTATCAGAACCTAAACCCTACCACTTTGTTTAGCCCACTTTAACAGTTATTTTCTCTTTCTCCACCTTCCCCTCACATTTTATCACCAGTCATCAGAAGCTCAGCCTCAGGATTAGAAAACATCTGAACTCAGGTAGGCTCCTCAGGTGTCTTTCCCCCAGGAAGGATTTTCTAAAATTTGGCACATATATACAAAGATCTCATTCTCTCATAATCTCAAGAGACCCTCTACTCCCTACAGATGTACCCATCCTCATTAAAGAGCAGGACAGTTTCTTTGACTTTATTTACATAAGTTAACCCAACAGAAGGACAGATCAGAAGAGTTCAAACAAGGGCATGGTGGCTCACACCTGTAATTCCAGCACTTTGGGAGGCCAAGGCAGGCAGATCACTTGAGGTCAGGAGTTGGAGACCAGCCTGGCCAACATGGTGAAACCTGTCTTTAATAAACATACAAAAATTGGCCAGGTATGGCAGCAGGTGCCTGTAATCTCAGCTACTTGGGAGGCTGAGGCAGGAAAATAGCTTGAACCCAGGAGGCGGAGGTTACAGCGAGCTGAGATCATGCCATTGCAGTCCATCCTGGGTGACAGAGCGGGACTCCGTCTCAAAAGAGTTCAAACAAACCTTTTTTTTTTTTTTTTTTTTTTTTTGAGACAGAGTCTTACTTCGTTACCTAGGCTGCAGTGCAGTGGCACAATCTCAGCTAACTGCAACCTGTGCCTCCCGAGTAGCTGGACTACAGGCATGCGCCACCACGCCCGGCCAATTTTGTATTTTTAGTTGAGACGGGGTTTTTCCATGTTGGTCAGGCTGGTCTCGAACTCCCAACCTCAGGTGATCCGCCCGCCTTAGCCTCCCAAAGTGCTGGGAATACAGGTGTGAGCCACCGCACCCGGCCTCAAACCAACTTTTAAAGAATGTCTGTGTGGTGTTTCTGAGCTGGATTTGTTTTTAAACCCCAAGGAAATTATATTCCTACAGTCCATAGGCAGGCTGTCTCTCTGGGTGTCCCAAAACTACAGGGTCAAAAGCAAAGGTTACACCAAAAGACCTACAGAAACACAGGAATTTTTCAATGCATCTACTCTCAACCCCAACTAAGGAGTTGCCTTTGTCCCTGTGGCCACAGCAGCCACCTGTACAAATTAAAAGCAGAGCAGCTATCCAGCTTTCTGTGCTCAATTTAACTAGTCCACCTGTCTGAACACAGCAGGCAGGAGTACTGTCTTGGTCTTTCTTTAACTCTTTCAGCTTGAGAAAGATGTTCATTTTCTCCCTTTTGCTGCATCTGCTTTCTAGTGAGTAGGAAGGAACCTAAGAAAGAATGACGGTTACAAAGCAATTAAGAATCCTATACAAGTTATCATTTAATCACAGTGTATTACTAGAATAAACTACTGCCTCCACAGTTTTTCTGCCTTTCTCATTATGACCACCAGCAAATCCACAATGGGTACCTCATTAATGTACTCTAAACTATTATAAAAACATTAAGCCAGGTTCAAAGAAAAAAAGAAGTATTCTTGTCCTCAATAATAATAAATTAAAATAATAACACTATAGCCATTAACATATGAGTGCTTAGTATGTACCAGGTACTGTGTGTAGTTCTTTACATGCAGTATCTCATTTACTACTTTTTTTTTTTTTCCCCTGAGACAGAGTCTCGCTGTGTCACCCAGGCTGGAGTGCAGTGGTGCCATCTTGGCTCAATGCAACCTCTGCCTTCCAGGTTCAAGCAATTCTCCTGCCTCAGCCTCCTGAGTAGCTGGAACTACAGGTGCACGCCACCACGCCTGGCTAATTTTTGTATTTTCAGTAGAGATGGGGTTTCGCCATGTTAGCCAGGCTGGTCTCGAACTCCTGACCTCAGGTGATCCACCCACCTCAGCCTCCCAGTGTTGGGATTACAGGTGTGAGCCACCGCACCCAGGCTCATTTACTACTTTATTTTCATTTTTGCAGAGAGGGGGTCTCGCTATCTTTCCCAGGCTAGTCTTGAACTCCTGGGCTCAAATCAATCCTCTTGCCTCAGTCTTCCAAAGTGTTGGGATTACAGGTGTGAGCCACTGTACCTGGCATCATTTACTTCTTATAATAATCCCATGGAGTAGGCACTATAATTAAATTCATTCCGTAGATAGGAAAACTGAGTCTTGGAGAGATTAAGTGACTCGCCCAAAATTTCACAAATAATACGAGGATTGGAATCCAGGACATTTTACTCAGCAATCCACTTTCTTAGCTTTACCACCTCCTCAAGGTATCTCACTTAAGTATTTCTTTGGAAGAACAGTAGGACAATTAAGTGCTTAATTCAGAAGGAAGAAGGATCATCAGAACCCTTAGCTAAAAACACTAGTAAATTTTAATCACTTCACTCAAATAATCAGGTCAAGAATACTAGGACCCCTTCTTCTTTCTAGCGTACCATATACCTACAATTTATAAGTAACAGTATCTAGGGAAAGGGCTCCAGTTAGTAATCTTGTACTAATGTTTTTCTCAGCTGAATCTGTTTCTAATTTTGCCTAATTGGCTATCCCATTTGTTGAGATGTAATAAAAGAATAAGGGGCTAGGAGCAGTGGCTCACACCTGCAATCCCAGCACTTTGGGAAAATTCCAGGAAGGATTTTCTAAAATCACCTGAGGTTGGGAGTTCGAGACCAGCCTGACCAACATGGAGAAACCCCGCCTCTACTAAAAACACAAAATTAGGCTGGGCGCAGTGGTTCACGCCTGTAATCCTAGCACTTTGGGAGGCCGAGGCAGACGATCACCTGAGGTCAGGAGTTCAAGACCAGCCTGACCAACATGGAGAAACCCCATCTCTACTAAAAATACAAAATTAGCCAGGTGTAGTGATGCATGCCTGTAATCCCAGTTACTCAGGAGGCTGAGGCAGAAGAATCTCTTGAACCCAGGAGGCGGAGGTTGCAGTGAGCCGAGATCACGACATTCTCCAGCCTGGGCAACAAGACCAAAACTCCATCTCAAAAAAAATAAGACTAAAAATAAGAATAAGGCTGGACGCAGTGGCTCACGCCTGTAATCCCAGCACTTTGGGAGGCCGAGGCGGGCAGATCACACGGTCAGGAGATTGAGACCATCCTGGCCAACATAGTGAAACCTTGTCTCTATTTAAAAAATACAAAAATTAGTTGGGCGTGGTGGCGCGTGCCTGTAGTCCCTACTCAGGAAGCGGAGGCAGGAGAATCACTTGAACCCGGGAGGCGGAGGTTGCAGTGAGCCAAGATAGCACCACTGCACTCCAGCCTGGTGACAGAGCCAGACTCCATTTCACAAGAAAAAAAAAAAAAGAATAAGGAAGGTTTCCAACAAACATTAAGTCCCACCACATTTTTTGCTAACAAAGTCAAGAGGGAAAGTTTTCTTGATCTACTACCACTAAGATAAAGTGAATATAGAATATAAATAGAGATTTCAAATTGAGAACCTCTAGAATGTTCTAGTTGATATATCTTCACTAAGTCTCCTGGCCAAGTAGGAAACAGTTTTCAGGAAAATAAATGGAGGCTCTCTTCTTGTGGAGAGGCAAGATTAGACCACCATCTTTAGTTAAACTACCATTATACACTTTTTTTCCATTCAATTTAGCACTAGCAGTACTTCAGCAAGTTCAAATCACAAAGGAGATAAGACTTTTGAAACTCAGAGATTATATCAGCACAAACCCTGAGGCCACATCCTCCCCCAACGTATGTCCACTTGGAATGTGCAGGCCAGTTTTGCTCCTGGTTCTTTATTTTGCTATATCCTGAAATGGGGAGTCTGATTTCTCCGTTAGCCACCTGCCTCGCTCCCCACCTTTTTAAGAGACAGGGCCTCACTCTGTTGCCATGCTGTAGTGCAGTAGCATGATCATGGCTCACTGAAATGTTGAATTCCTGGGCTCAAGTAATCCTCTAACCTTAGCCTCCTGAGTAGCTAGGACTACAGGTATGTGCCATG